GCTCAGGTCCCTTCCGACCCTACAAACTATGAAACTATGTTCCTAAAATCTGAATTTATTACAACTCCTGAAAGTTCATTAGTCCGGCTAATCTCTGCACACAAACCCCAGGGAAGAAGTAGGAAGAAAGTGCATGATCTGTTTGCCAGGGAGCCGGGAGGGGGGTTACTGCCCATGTACTTTGCACAGGTAACCCAAGTGCAAGGTTAGCCAGCAGCAGGGTGTGAAGTCAGCAGAGAGGAAGGGATGAATCTGCATGGAAAACAGGTCTGCCGGTGACTAGCGATAGGGAAAGTAAGAGAAGAAAAAGCAGGCCGTGGGGCAGTTATGGAGGAGTGAGCAGCTTCAGCTGTATAAGGAGGGGGCATCAGCACCTCCCACGGAAAGGTCCAGGGTTTCATTCTGAAGCTGGCCCGGGTCCGCCCGGGGCCACTGCATCTGACCTGGGCTAGAAATCGTGCTCTTCTGAGCTGCTGACATGAGGCTAGCTTGGTGCCGATGAAGAGCATCTTGCATTTGAAAGCTCACCTACCTTTATCCCAACCGTGCAGTTGGTCCAGTAAAAACTCGCCCACAAAGACCTCTGCCTCTCTCAAGGCTGGTGCTGGTGTTAGGGCGCTGCCTTCCCCAGAACGAGGAGACTGGATTTTCTCATGGAAGATCCCTTTCAACACGAATGGTTTCAATTCTCAGACCATGGCACAGAATATATAACAGCCACTGCACATAGGGCGCTGGTTGGACTGGGCTTGTTTTAGTTGAATTCTGAATTTTTGCTCTGCAAGAGGAGGTAACGGGGTGAAACGTCACATTTAAATCTCAGGTCAGCCTTCTGTCCCCAGTGAACTGAGCAAGTGGATATTAGGGAAAGGACTGTTAGGGTCAAGCATCTACAGCCACTTGACATTTTCAAGCAGTCAGCATTTCCCACCATCTCCTCTCACAAGGAGTCTCCCTCCCCATCAGCCTCTAGGGAAGGGGATGAGCCTGTGCCCAAGACACTTCTGAACTTGAGCTAACACCACTCTTTCTGAGCCTCACCCTTGATTTCCACCCCGTGTCGTTTCATCCCCTGGGGCAGCGTACACTTCAATGGACCTGCTGCGTGAAATAGTTTTCACTTTGAACTAGAAAGGCAAAAGACATTTTTCACATTTTTAACACTATAACTTTTTTAACCAAATCTAATGAACCCTTCAGGCATTTCCCTAGCAGCCACGTAAGCACTGGCAAACCCTCTGAAGACATCCTTTTCACATGAGGATAACATTTTAAACATGTGCATCTGCAATCCAAGCACCAGACCCCCACCAGAGAAGAGAGATCGCAAGATCTCTCTGTAGGGAAACGTGGTGGCACGTAGATGCCCTTTGCTGTTAGTGCAGGCGAGACTGCCAGGGAAGTCAAAAGAAGGAGACCTGCGAGGTCCCAGAGAAGAAAACAAGACACCAGAAAATGAAACTCGCTTCTCTCAACACAAAATGGTATCAAAGGACAGGGAAGGAGGCAGTGTCATGGCACAACACGCGGTTAAGCAAGACTGGGCATTTACACATCTCGGGTGCAATATAATGACGTGAAGCAGCAGGAGGCAGTGGGTGAGGGGTAACTAAAGTGTGCGACGTCCCCTTCATCCAGGCAATGCCCTGCTGCTACCCTTCTTTGCCCCACGGGCAGGGGCATTTCACTAGCGAGAGCCCCCGGGAACAACCCACAATTCACAGGCATACACGCACCACCGTAAGATGGCACGGCTAGCTTCATACAGTCTCTCCGCGGAGTCGGAGCTGGGTGCCAGCTCCTGCACAACACCGCTCCCCGAGTAGAAACGAATGAGAAGCTGGCAGGTCCTGGCAATCCTGTAGCACGTTCAGGGAACGAGTGGTCACAGCTTTGGTTTCTCGATTGGATCAGAGGCCTTCCTCCACAGGCCCCGGTTTGGAGCGGGTGCACTCCGATGGAGAGGAAACCACGCCGAGCATCAGTCAGACCGGCCCCGGCTACACTGCAGGGTGCTGGAAGGAGCCCGAGACCTCTAAACAGGACATGAGAGGCTGCCCATTCCCAGCAGACACCCGCTTGAGCAGATCTAGATTCCTGTTTATTAACGGTTTGGTTTCATTCCCACAGGGTTTGTTTTTTTGTTTTTTTTTTAATCGGGCTGTGATTTGGGAATGGTTTCCTTGCTTCAGGACCAAGCCAGTATTAAGTTCCCTTCTTCGGACACACTGAACAGCGACCAACAAGACGACCTCATGCAGATGCAGGGAGACTCCAGCCCCCCAGAGCAGCAAGCTGTGAGTAAGATGTGCCTTTTCCTTTCCATCTCCAAAAAGCACAAGCCTGATAGACAGCTTAAGCAGTTGCTGTGTCAAGTTTCTTCTTTCTCCGTCCAAGGCAACAGGCTCAGAAATCAGACGGATAAAAGTAGGCACCAAAAGGGTAGGAACGCTTACCTGGAAAAGGAGCAATACTTGGCATGACATTTCTATAAGGCTTAGTCATCCAGCGAGTTGTTTATGGACTGGAAAATAACCAAATCCTCCTCCTAAATGGGTGTCACTTGTGCCTTGCAGGATAATCCCAGTTTCAGCTGCCAGGCGTACGATCTGGACAGCAGGACAGAAAGGAAGGGTTCAGACTCGTCGCACAGCCCCAGCCCCTCTTCTCCAGCCCATGACCCACTTCACGGGAGATTCCCTGCCAGCCAAGCCATCCATGCTGCGAGGAGCAAGTTTAAAACCACCCACAGTCTGGACAAATTCAGAAGGTATAGCTACGACGAAAACACGGCTGGGACCTACGGCAGCTTTCTCAAGAGCACCAGGAACCCCTTCCATCCTTACAAGAGGCAGATCAGTGAGGAGGTCTTCCAAGAAAGCCATCAAGCCCTCGCTCTGGATGATCATGCCTTCAAAAATGCAAGCAGCGTTGAGACTTTTGAAGAGCTGCCAGGATCTACAGGCACGGGAGAGACAGAGGCCTTTCCCACACACGTTCCCAACATCTCCACGGAGCAAACATGGTGCAACAGCCTCCAGTACAACACCCGGGGCCCAGATCCCGGCACTCAAGCCTTGGTGAGTTGCTGTATGACCCAGGGCTGCTAGCATGGTCCAGGTCAACTTTTGCAAACAGTTCTCTTTTCCATGGCATAACCCCACCATTAATCTTTTTCCAGGTTAGAGTCTATAAACAATTCCTTTGGTGCGGTTCCCTATCCTACACCTTTTCCCCAGCTAAAATTAACTCGTAGAAAAAATCCATGGACACAGATCATTTGCCTAGAAATCCATTATGTGGACCCAAAACGCTCAATTCTTTCCCTACAACAGGTCAGTCATCACCAATTAGTCTGTTGTGGGGCTGGAAGTTCTCAAAGCAATTAGTGTCAAACACATGGATGTGTGCATTGGCCACACTCACATTTGTTACGACCTTCCCTTTCTCCTTCCTATAGTCGTGCACTAGAAGAAGGGATGTTAACAAACGCATCCTAATTCAATGATGTTTAAACCCCATTGAGATCCTGCTACAGACAAGGGCAGTGGTATTTAAAAGCCTGTTCGTTTGTGGCGGTCAACCCCCTGGATGCCCAGTGTGCTCCTAAACTTCCTGCCGTTCCTACCTAAGCACCTGCAAAGAGTAAAACAATCAAAGGATAAAATACATTCAAGATGTGTGCATGACACTAAAGCACTGGCTCTCAACTATTTTAGGATCAAGATCTTTTCTGAATTTAGCAGCACCTCATTTCAAAAATGAAGTTCACTCATTTTTTGGCTACAGAAAAAAAATACCAGAGCCATTCTTCTGCTGCCAAGATCTCAGAAAGATTGTAGCAGGGCAGAATGGCTTTGACACTATGTGGATTTCTATTTGACAGCCCCGGGTTTATCTTGTGAATCATGTGTAGGTGTTTGCACACTTAACAGTCCTCCTATTGTGCAGCACCCTGTGGCACCTTTACAAGGATCTGCTGGTGCCTGGTTGAGAATCACTGCCCTGACAGATGAGAACCCTAACGCCCACGGTCCAGTTACCTAAGAGAGGACAGGGCATTACCAAAGGCTATCACCCTCTCAATAACAGCTAAAGCCCACTACGCTTTCCCCACCCAGTATTGATACTTGGGTAGGAAAGCTTCTGTGACTGTAATTCCACGAGCATAGGTTACTTCCTTGCTGCTATAATTACATGCCAGTTTTTCCAAGACTAGCTTTCAATCACTAATTGGTAGTAAGAGGAAGTGGGGAAGTCTAGCATCTCAGTAGATGTTTTGGATGCAGGAAGGCCCATCTCTGAGGTCACTTCTATTTGATTGGCATTGCCAGAGAGGAAAACCCATCTGTTGCACAGCGTGCAAGACGGCACGCTCACCGTTTGCAGTTCTGTGGTGATCGACGCTAGTGCAATAGATGCAGTCAGCTAATTTAAGGGAACTCTGAGATCACAGCTTTCTAAGGAGGTTTGGGCACTGTACATTTGCAGCAAGTTTTCCTAGTATTAAGATTAGTCAAAGAGCAGTTATTAGGAAATATATAAAGCCGGCTGACCCTTTCAAATACTTTAAAAGTGTTTTTGGTGTTATTTAAAAATAAGAATAATAAAGCAATGACCCTGATTTTGAATGGTGTCTGAACTCACTTGAAAACTGAATATGGTATTGAATTCTAAAAACCTGCGAATAATGACTTTTAATTTTTTTTTTTTCAATTTGTAGTTTGCACAATTTTCAGAATTAAAATCTCAAGATCACATTTGGCCATCTCACCCTGGCTATCCCTCTCATGCTGCACAAGCCAAAGTAAAGACACCTTTTTATCACTCACATGTCTATTAGCATTTATGGGCAAAGTGCCAACTGATTAAAATACGCTCAAGCCAGGATTAGCCATCAGGGGACCGTAGTGTTTTCTGGCATGTCGCACCAAAATATTATTGATTATTTCTTGGTGATAATTAGACAGAAAAGAAAGAGATGCTTAGGCTGCAGAGGCTGATCCTGTTGAATTGTAATAGTCGATAGAAACAGATTAAATGTATGGCCTAAGCAAGTGGCCAGGATTGCTTAAGGCCTGTTAGATCTATGTTTATTCAAATGCACATACACTATACCCACTCATTAGGCCCTGATCAAACCTGTGCAACAATTTTTGTAACATAATGCACAGATGACAGGAAAGTAGTGATTGAGCTGTTACCAACTCTCCCAAGGTAATCTCCCCAGCTGCACTATTCGGTCTCTCCTCTTCCCAACGACTCCTTCCAGCTTTGTGCAAACCGTCCGCTAACAACAAGCTGAGATAGTGCTGAAGCAGAGAGGGACCCGATGAGCTCAGGATGACTGTTCAAGTATTTGAAGGGAAAAGGCAAAAGAAATTATCATCTGGACTTTTCATATTTTTGTTAGAAAATCGTAATGGTCTTCTTTACAATTGTAGTTACACAGAAATGATGGATGAGATGCTTACTGTGGGGGCTCTAACGCACGATGTTTTCTACTTCTAACAAGCATAGAAGGAAGTCAAGAAAAGCAGAGAAAACATCTAAAGGCTAAGACAGTATCTAGCCAGCTTATTTTGATTAAAATTCAGTGCATTTTCCCAATTACACCTCCAATAATATATCTCAGCAGGATTCAGAGGTCAGCCTTAAAGGCCTGTCACTGGAAGGGCAGCCCGGTCTGTACTGTTACCAGTCTCAGGTGCAAGAGATGTACTGCTCCTCGCACCCATTCCAGCAGGTAGGTGCACCGTGCGGACAAACTGCATTTCCCACTGCAGACTGGAGATAATATTCAAGGAACAAGCTAACGGTGTTGGCTAAATTTACACTTGCTGGGGAAATTTGATAGTGAATAGATAATATTCCCATTTTCCTTCCAAAAATGGCATCGAGAAGAAATAGATCCAAATTATTTTTAAAACCTAGGTGCTGCCAGAAATATTAAGTGGTAGAAATGGGAAAGCAGTGCTGCTTGTGTCTTCTCTTGCAGCCACTGCCACGTAAAACTGGTGTGGTAACCTGGTGGAAGGGATATGTGCCAGCTCCATCCGATCTTGGGAATTGTGTCTGTTCTTCCTGAGTGTCACAGCTGGATATGGCCCCCTTGAGCACTAATAAGCTTAGAAAATCATTTTAAAAACCCAAGTTTAAGTAGTGAAGCACTCCTGCGAGTCCTGTGCCCTGGCGGGGTGGGAGCTGGGTGAGCCGCAGTGAGCCCTGGGAACCAAGGCTTGCACACGGCAAACCATGTGCTCCATCCTATTACTGTTACTCTCCTCCTCCCTCCGCTTCCACTCCCTCTATTGTGTGCTGCACCCACCCATCCCACGGGTAGTCATTAAAGTATAAGCTCTTGGGAGCAGAGACATCTTTCAGTGCATGTCTGTGCAACACCTTGCCCAATGGGCTTCCCATTCTGGTTGGCACCTCTGTGCACCTCTGGCAACCAAATCCTCAGCAGGAGAGGGGCTCTCTGCTAGGATGGGGTGATGCCCACCACATTTTCTCCTCCCTGGTATTCCTGCTTCTTCCATCTATTTCTGCACCTCAGCGCTGCAGGAGCTGGATGCTCTTCCTACAGGCCTGGGAAGTGCACAAGTGCAGGAAGGGTTTGGAAGAGCAGAAGCTTTGGGAGGTGTGACGGGGGAAGAAAGGGTTTCCCCACACCGGGGCTAAGTCAGGAAGCCTGGGCAGGGACCTTCCTCTTGCTTCTCAGGCTCATCCCTGGAGCTGCCACCTAACCAAACCTAGCCTGAACTCTAACATAGGCAACATTTTTCTTCCCAAGTGGTCAAAAAGGAACGGAAAATCCCTCATCATCACCAGCACCCCTTCCTCTGTCACAGTCCATGAAAAGCTCCTGCCATTGATCTCAAATTCACTAGAAAAGTGGTCTCGATCACAGTCACAATCCAACAACATTGATACAGATATACTGTTTTTCTTTTTTCCCTTTGTGGGGAGGGAGGAGAAGATTCAAAAATCATATTTATGGGAAAACCTTTGTTGCAGCTATGAAGTTGCAGTGCAGCCCCTACAATCTCGCTGCAGCTTGCCAGCTGCATTGCGCACCTTCCCACAGCTCTGCACAGGCCATTGCAAAAGTAAAAAGGGAGAGAATCCGTGTGCCCCAAATACCCTTCTTTTCCACATTATTCCCTATGTGGACATACACCCCTCCCCTTTCGCTCTTGGTTCGATGCCAGCTCTGTTATTAAACATTGGCATCAACTGGATTAAAAACCAAAACCTTACGGTGCAGCGGCTGCAACACGCCTTCTGGGAGCAGCTGGGCAAGACGCAACAAGCGCCGCACCATAGGGAAGTCTCCATCCACCTGCAGGCCGGCACCGTGACAGCCCTCCCCAAGCACCCGGTTTCTGGTAGCGCTTTCGTACTTGTGCCTCTCTCATTCCTATGGGAAAAGCTAAGGAAACATGGACAAGAGCCCCGAGGACAGCGAGAGGCCACGGCAGCCTAGACTGTAGTAGGCAGACTTACCACCCCAGTCATGCCAGGGGGCCAGTCGGATGAGTAAGCGGCCTCCCCATCACAACCAGGTGACCCTGCACTGAAGCTGTCCCAGGGGGGTTGGTTGTCGCTGTCGCAAGCAGACAAGCTTCTTTGGGTCAATCCAATATCTTTTATTACTTTATAATTCTTTTAATTGGTCTAATAAAAGATATTTTTATTTTAGGCTAGATATCAGGAGGTGCTATTTCACGGTCAGGGCGGCTAGGATCTGGAACCAACTTCCAAGCGAAGTGGTGCTGGCCCCTACCCTGGGGGTTTTTAAGAGGAGGCTGGATGAACACCTTGCTGGCGTCGTTTGACCCCAGTACTCTTTCCTGCCGTGACAGGGGGTCGGACTCGATGATCTGCTGAGGTTCCTTCCAACCCGACCAGCTATGAAACTATATCAGATTTACCCAAATAACCTTATCTGCCTATGAACTAAAGCTGAGCACACCAGCAAACCAGCCAGAGAAGGCTCTCCGTGCCACGCCAAGAGGCAACAGATCCGCTCCCTTGTCAGTTTTGTCCACGAGATGAAACTGCTTCTCCTCCCCTTTGCCGAGCGCAGGGCAGAGTAGCCCAGCAGAGAAACCACCACCTTCCTCACCTCAAAACAACTGCAGACATGCGACACTAATTGGAGACACTCACCCACCATAAAACACCGACACCTTCATGCCAGTTCTGCCACTGTAAAACAAGCAGGAGCCCGTCACACAAGACCATTCTGTAGCCCCAGTTCCCTCAAATAGGAGCAATGAAACCAATAAAACAGAAATAGTCTTTAAAACGCCCAGTCCTCTCTTCTGGTGATGACATCAGAGCCAGTTCCAGCTCAGTCTCCTTTCCTTCCAAAGGAGCCACTGAAGCTAATAAAAACCCAAATTACCATATAAATACCTAATCTTCCCTGATAACCATGCTGAACACAGGAGGACAAGGCAGGCAGCCCTTGAAGACAGAATTTATAGAAGTTTTCAGGGCTGAAATGTTGCCCGGTTTGTATTTTCCTGGGGCAAGGAGGGACGACGCGTGGAAGCGATGCAAGAACAAGGGTGCAGGGATCGGCCTGGCCCCCTGGGCAGCACGCTCAGAGCTCAGGTTCTGCGTCTTGCTCTGCAGCTGGATGGGATAGAGCACCTCGGCGCCCAGCGCATTTTACAATGCATTTGTTTTCATGCCTGCGCTGACATCATTAATGCATTCAAAGTTTTACCTTGATGTCCAAAGTCAGCGAACAGTAATGGCCTTGTGCTGACCCCGTTGTACAAGCTCTGCTCCATTGGATTTCTGTCTTTACCCCCTTCACTGCTTTTAACCAAAGACAACCAAAAAATGCAGCTGAGCCCCTCTTTTAAGTCTGTAACGTACTTTAATGGCTTTAATCTTATGTCTGACTTCAGAGGATGAGTCTTCGTAGTGCACTTTACTGTGCTAAGCATCCCATGCTGTTTTGATATTTTTCTCCATCTTAGCAAGGTCATTTTATAGCATCCCTTTATCCGTGTGATACCAGGATGGGTGGGGGAAAGGGGTCCTTACAAATAACATGGCATTGCTGTTGTTAATAAAGACAACATCTCAAGGACCTTTTGCCTCTTCAGTTTCTAAGCCAGTTGGTTTCTCTCCTGTTGTACACCAGTATTCTCCAGGAAGCAGCTATCCTGTGACCTATCTCTCTTCGTCCCAGTACCCCTACCAGAGGATCGCTCCTCAAGGAAGCCAAGAGTCCCACCAGCCTCTATTTCCAAAGCCGATCTACTCCTACAGGTAACACAAGGTTTGCTCAAGTCTGACAGTTTGGGGAAGCATCAGTTTGCACACAGCCTGTCCTCGGTACATAACGAGTGAAAACGCGCTTGCTCCCATTTATCAGGAGATGTCCCAGCCTCCGAGCCAAGACACAAGAGTTTCATTAGGCAGAAAAAAAGCCAGTGAGCATTTTGCAGAGTCTTGGGCACGTAAAACAAAAAACATAACATCAAAACAGGGCTAAGGACGTTGAATAGGGCCAAGTGTCTCAGTGTGGTCCTGCTCCATCCATCCGGCTCTAGGGGCTGGTGCGTGCCAGTGGGGTGCATGTGCCACCATGGAAGGGAGACCTAAGTGCCCCTCAGGTACCTGAGAGGTGGCACTGGGCATCTGCAGTCTCCTGTGTGTGTGGCTTTTGGCCGCTGGTCACCCTTTCCAGCATGCGAGTTGGTGCTAATTCTTTCCTGCTGAATAGGGTCAGTCCAGAAATAGGAGAGATGGGGAAATTATGCACCTGCACATATAAGTAAAACCGTAAGTTATGTATCATGGTCTTTCTGAACAGGTACAAACAATGTTTCCCTGTAGAAACATGAATGCCCTTTGTCTGCTCCTTCTTTGGTAATATTAAACCCAAGGGCATCAGTGCTGTCTGCACAGAGTAAAGCAGTGCAGTGAAACCTCAGGTTTCAGACTGCAGCTAGGAGTAGATGTTGCATTTGTCCCTGCGTGTATCCCAGGACTGGCGTGTACACACATCGCCCATCTAATCAGGGTTTAGCAAATGGCTGAATGAACCGCCGCTTTCCTGTCACTGATCCAGTGATGCAGTCCCAGGATATCTGTACAGCTGTGCTCTGCATATCCCAGGATAAAGCATTACTGCTTCTTATCTGGGAAATGTTTTTAGGATTTATCCTGGGACATTGGCATGGACATCTGTACAATTGCACTTTGTCCTGGGATAAAATGACTTATTCCAGGTAAGTGCAATATCCGTTTGCAGCCTTTTTCACTGTGGGTGCTTATACACATCCTGATTTGACCATGTACATGTGACAAAGAATGACGAAAAATCATCACTTGACTCTCCTTTTGGGACCTTTATCCACATAGTGCAGTGGTTTTCAACCTCTGGCCCGCCAACCCCTGGGGGTCCGCAGACGATGTCTAAGGGGTCCGTGAAAGATGACTATGATCAATCAAAAGTATGCGAATGCCCACACCTACAATTCAGAGGGGTCCACATTTCCATTCAAAATTTCCAAAGGGTGAAAAAAAGGTTGAAAACCACCGACTTGGAGCGACTGAGCTCAGTGTTAAAAAGATACAACAACAAAACCCACCAAGCGGCACAAGCCCCCAAACTAACCGCTCAGGCCTGGGGTATGATTTTACTGTGTGGTGCAACAGATTTACCCTGATATAATTGCACTGAAGGCAGATGCTGTGTGTGCAATGCGATGGTAACCCGTGCAATCACCAGGGTTCATCTTATGGCAGTGAAAGCCAGAGAGGAATTGCGTGTGCTGAAAAATAATTTTGCTGTTTCTGAAAAACCACATAAAGCCAACTCATGTGAGACTAGCTGTCAAGACTGCCTTCTCTCTGTCCTTTTATCCCCAAAGCATCCTGATCTTCATGGCACTCAAGAACAGCAAGACGGGGAGCCTGCCAGTCAGCGAGATTTACAATTTCATGACGGAACATTTCCCTTATTTTAAGGTGAGCTCCTCTTTTACTCCACTCCATTGAAACGGTCTGTTTGCATGTATTAGCTCTCAGGTGTAATATCTAACAAGTGCTGGGCTGTACTTCTCCTAGTCCCTGAGTCTAATGATTGCCCAGGCCACGACTTGGGCTTACACAGCCTACCTGAGTGCTGCAGGGGTGGCCAGTCTGCAGCACACACGTCACAAGTGGCACAGCCAGTCTGTGTGGTGGCATGTAGCGGGCCGAGGAGGGAACAGACAGTCCGGTGTCAAAAAAGGCAAGGAGCAGTCAGCAGATCGGGCAAGGGAAGGAGACGTGGCACTCAAGGAGGGTGCAGGGCTCATTTGGAGCACATCAGCCAAAAAAGTTTGGCCCCCACTGGAGTACTGTGTGGGACAATACCAGGAGGAGAAGGATTACAGTTAGATTTAAACAAGGTCTGTAATGTTCAGCACCAGGCTTTATACCTGTTGATGCTTCAAGAAAAACCGTAGTAGAAATACAGAGCAAGTCATGTATAAATGCCCCAAGAGGGAATGAAAGCAACAAGAGTAATATTTCCTATTGAGAATAAATATGCAGAAAAATAAGAGGTTTAAAAAAAACCCAACAAAACAACCACACAAAATGGCAAAAAGGGAACTCAAACATAAACGCTCTATGGCATAAGAAGAAAACTCTTGAAGCAATATAGGAAGGAAGTGGTAACTCGCAGTGAGGCTAGATGAAACTGCGACCCACAGGAAGGTGAAAGGGCAGAAGGGACGGATGTAGCATGGCATGAAGGAGGAAGAGGAGGAGAGAGTTCTCCAGGGTGTAGTGTATCTATGTCCTCTCGTAAACTATTCCTTAGTCTATAGCTGCCTGCTGAACGAATCAGCGCTACTCAGCTGGTGGCTGGACGCAAGGGAACGGGAGAAAAAGATTCAGCCTCGACTACTCCATCTGTATCCGATGCCTGTGCTGGTGCATGGAAGAAGAAATGCAGTGCCTTTCTAGCAGAAAAAGAAATTCATTTAAAATACAACAAAATGCACGTTTTGCAAATCTAACAGCACCAGATGGATTTGTTTTCAGAAGATACTGCCTGAGATGACTAGAAGAAACAGTCTGCAAACCCACTGCTGCTTCTACTCACATGAATAGGAGGTTTCCTAGGCCAGGAAAAATCCAGATCGACTAAGTCTACCTTCCTGCTCTGGGTGGTAAAGTGTGTTCCTGACAGCTCGCACTTCCAGGGCAACACCCATCCTCTCCACAAAGACACTGCTAAATGCACGCTCTCCCTGCACCCATCAGAGAGGCTGAGCCATTTCTGATACCTCATGTAAGTCTTTCCCTCCCACTCAAGACGACTCTGGAGCTGCCCTTTTCTCCGACCCTCGTGCCCTTCCACTAAGGCATTGAAAAAGAGACAGTCAGGACCGGGTTTCCCCCAAGATCAGTCTGAGTTTGCTGCAGACACAGAACTATGCAGAGGGGCGAGCGCACGCTCTGGGGGAAGAACCGCTTTGCACGCTAGTCCATTTGACAGCCGTCTGATTCCACAGTTTCACCCCAAACTTCTTAAAAGAAACAGAAAAGTGAGAAAAATAATACCGCTTATTTGTGGGTAACCTGCTGCAGTTACTTCCAATCCATACTCAGCTAGGGGAATCCTCTGCACAATAGGTTTCTGCCCTTTGCATTGCCTGCTGTCTTTGGGATCTTTCAAGATACTAATTCGACGATTCCCCTTGGAAATCAGGCACAGAAAACTTTGTCGTTGCTATTAGAAATCTCCGGTAACTACAGAACATGGAACCGATAGGTGGGGAAGCAATTACAGCCAGGGAAAAACACGTACAAAATGCACATGGGATCTTGCTGGGAGACATTAAATGACAAGCCCCAGTCAATTAACTTCTCCTCGCTGCAACAGCAAATTCAGCCTCTCTGATGCAACAGTCTCATTTCTAGTTGAAACAGAGTGATCCAACTCCTACGTCCTGAAAAAACATCCATGCAGCTAAAGCAGAACTGCGCTTTGAAGTACCTCTCCCTTCTCCTGAGAGCTAGATGTAAAGAGAAAGGGCTTTGCAAGATCAGAGGACTCTTTAAACTTCAAGGGACGGTCTGGATCAGTGGGTCTATAGAGAGTAAGCTGAGTAAGGTTTCTCTTTGTGGTATTTTTGTTCCCTTCCAGTAGTTAACATGACTAACCAAAGACTCAGTCTTGGAAACTGGAGATCCCGTCCATGGGCCGAGAGGCTAGAAAGGGTGTGGGCTCCTGGGACTGTACGGGCAGGCTCACTCCTCCTCTCCATCACCCAAATTCTGCACTCAGCCCTTCCCCTACAGGGGTCCGATTTCACCTCGATGGTCACAGCTCGTTCCTTTAGTGACCAGGATGAAGGTGCACATTGACCCCTGGCCAGAGCACTGGGGCTGGCTTTCCCCTGCCCAAAATACTGGAGATCAGCCTGCTCCTCTCCCGGCACCATGCTGCAGAACAAACCCATTTGCTTGGCTCCCTCATTAACGTCTCTAGAGCTATTTCACAGCACACACCCTGCCATTTCTGACAACCTCTGGGAAGCACATGCCACTCCCGTCTTCCCTCCTGCTGAGCAGGAGCATTAATTAGGTCTGCAAAGTAGGGACGAGGCAGACAGGTAATCCCTAATTGACAGGGCCAGCAATAAAATCTCATGTTCTGCTTCTTTGCAAAAATGACATCATTCAGTACCAAGCACATCCGACTCCAGAAGAACGTCTTTCTTGTTCACTTGAGCCCTGGCTGGTAGCAAGCTCAGCATGACCTGCAAAGATGAAAAAAGGTGGGCTTCTGTCCTTTTTTTGCTTCTTTATGGTGGATAAAGTAGTTCCCACCATAAAAGGGAGTTTTTTGGCTTGTTTTTAACTGTAGAACTTCAAGTTCTATCTTGCCCACAAAACTCTGATGACTGGCAAAATAGCAAACCGATGATGACATCACATGGGCCAAAAGAGTGGAAGTTAGCAAGTTATAAGAGGGAAGGGATGTTGACTCATTTTTGCTGGTTTCTGTTAACAGGTACTTACTTCTATGACTGATTCATGTTGTAATGAAAGGAATCTGCAGCAAGTCAACACCAGGGCTCCTTAAACTTAGAGGCTTGGTGCTTTCAGCAATCACTCTTTATTCCACTAAGTGGTCCTGAAACAAAGCCAGGGAAGAGCACATTTAGATTCCAGATAGAAGCAGGAATCTCAAACCTCCAGCAGCCGCACGCTGATAAGTTCCAGTTTCCCACTCTTGCCTTGGCAGGCACCGGGCAGGGTGCAATTCTGTTTTCTGTATTTACCGAGCAAGATCCAGAACATGTCTTAGTTGGTTCCCAGCTGAACACAAAAAAGGCTTTAGGAGGTTTTGGATGCTAACGCACCACGTCTGCAGATACTGCAACTTTAGAAAGCCTCAAGGTGAACAAAAACGCTGTCAGCCACTATCAGCCAGATCCCAAGAAGGACTTAGATGCCTCAAACTGGACTCCAGTGGACTTTGAGTGCACAAGTCCAAAACAGCAATGCAAAACCCTTCTGCTCAGCAGTCCTGGAAACTCATCAGACACCTCCCTTTTTAGCCTGAAACTTCCCAAGGCATTAGCTGTTCTGCCTGCCAACCGTGCCCACGACTTCCATTGTCTAAGCAGGTCGGCACCCAGCCCCCACCTAAGCCCCACCAGGATCCAGAAACCAGCAGGAGCCGTACCTCTATCCCCGAAGGGCCCAATCCAGGGCGTGTGCTGAGAGCACACTCAGTGCACACACCCACAGCACTGGGTCCAGTACAAAGCACAACAGCTACGGGCACTTTTCTTTAAAACCTCACGCCAAAGAGATGGTGATGCCCACTCCTTTGTTAATAGTCTTGTGGCTACAGCACTGGTCCAAGGAGCAGGAGACCTGGGTTGCAGACCCTAATCATCACCACCCAAGACAGGGCCCTGACCACCAGGCATGCGCTGCCAAGGGCACGTGCACCCTCCCCGCCTCCTGCTGCTGCACAACGCCCCCACTTCAATGGATACAGGATGCGCCGGACTGGAGGAAGCCTCTGCAGCCTGCTGGCTCAGGCCCTTGCTCGGGGGGGGGAGGGTCCCGAACTCTGCTTGCACTTCCCTTTAAGCAGTTATTAATCAAAGAGCAGAAATAGTTCTGGGTACGAGCAGCACCAGGCAGAACCATTTCCTTCTCTTTTGCAGCAGCCTGTTTCCAAATCTAAACAGCACCGAAAACTTGTTTTCTGCACCAAGTTTTATCATCATTCCCCTTGTTCCGAGTCTCCATAATTAAGTACCGAATTCCGCCCCCAGGCAAGGAGGGAGCCTTGTTTATCTCATTAACTGGAGAGCACTTGAATAAAAATGAAAGGCTTTGTTTTGCTGAGGTAACACATGTATTGTTCAACCAAAAGAACTGTCAGGTTCGAGAGCCAGCTTAAAAAATAATGAGAAAAATTAACCCAAAATAGTCAAGTTCTGAAATTGTTTTCATCTCATCTGGATGACTTCAGACTCAGCCCTTTGGCTACACAGTATTTTTTGTACACCTGCATTGGCATGCTGACACCCATTTGATGTCTAGTTGGAAAATAAGATGAAGTCTAAATAGAGCGTAGCCAAGGATAAAACAGACCAGGGATACGGCTCCTTTGCGTAACTCGGTTACATAACACCGTGTTGAGAGCTCTGCATTTAATCCTTCATGTCATTGGTAAATCCGCTGTTGAAATATCCAGGACCATTCCCCTGCAAAGTCAGAATATGATGGGGATTTCTCCCTAAGCGTCCTTGCCATTTTGAATCGTCTTCACATATTGATCATCTGTGCGCGGTTACCTTTGTTCCAAGAGAAAGAAATAACAGAACTATCAACAGAAAAGAACTGTACCTGCATTGATGCGATTGCAAAAAGCACTTGGCCAAAAGAAGTTGTCAGTTCTAGGTATTGCAATGTGCAAATCGGGGATATATTCTGGTCTCAGCCTTTTAATCTGACCTGCAGCCTACTGCCTGGAGCGATGATGTTGCAAAGCTCATTGCCAAAACCTACTCAGTACTTAGAGAGCAGGCAAGCAAAGAAAGGGCTAGGCTGTGGCAAGAAATGGATTAGTGATTCAGGACCTGATTTCAAGCCTGTTAAAGTCAAGGCTGCGTGGGAAGGGGTCATTTCACCGAGCTCAGTGAGTTTTGGAAAACGTGTAGCTGTGGCACAGCTCTGTGCATCGGGACTGAATGCCCTAGCTTGACACAAGGGGACCTGGGGTTGCGGTCCAGGAATCTCTTGTATAAATAAGGCATAAATCGCCTTCCTTGATGCGAGGTCTTTTGAACAACACAAAGCTCTGTATGAGCACGTTTGATGACGATTCTTTTCATCGCTTCCTAACAACCCGACACGACCACGTAGCTATACTTCATCCAAACGCAGCTAGGGAATGGGAGTAATCAACCATGAGACTGGGCTTGAAAAATCCCACTCAGGAAAGAGTCCCTGAGAGCGGGCTCTGCATTACCTCCCAGAACAAATTCCCAGAGAGAGAGAGAGAGAGAGAGAGAAACCCTTGCTTATGTCCTTTAAAAATAAATGGGTCTAAAACAGGAGCATGTCTGTTATTAGGATGATGTCGTAATGATCCCTTGGAGAAAAAAAACACCAATGTGAATTGATGGTCCTCTTTCAGTTTTGATTCCTTTGGTCACTCTCTCTGCCAAGCCGCTCTGGTGGCAGGTCTTTATTTTCATTAAAACAATGCCGAGCTACCCCCTCTTGAGCTTCTCTTTCAGACCTGGAGGCAGAGGAAGTTGGTGGGGGAATCTTTTAACCATCGGTTGACTTGGTTTTTCCAGACAGCTCCGGACGGCTGGAAGAATTCTGTACGCCATAACTTATCCTTGAACAAGTGCTTTGAGAAAGTTGAAAATAAGTCAGGCAGCTCTTCTCGGAAAGGCTGTCTGTGGGCACTGAATCCAGCCAAAATCGATAAGATGCAGGAAGAGCTCCAGAAATGGAAGAGGAAAGATCCGGTCGCTGTGAGGAAGAGTATGGCCAAGCCAGGTCAGTAATAGCCTAACACATTCATTGTCAAGCAGTGGCCCACAGACCCTTTTCTTAGGGGCATGCAGCATAAATACACTGAGACTCAAGCAATAGAAGAGGATTTGGATGCTGGGAAGGGAAATGGTCCTCCTGTTTAGGAAGTGGCTGGCAGACGGGAAAAGCAGGAAAAGTCTAAGGATAAAATAAGAGTTGGCTTTGTTCCCAACATTGCTAATGGGACACGTCAACCACGTCCTGTACAGCCATTTCCGGAGCATCACTAAAATCCTAGCCACACCCCGAGGAGAGGACAACCTCAATGCAGAGCGGGCAATACCTGGCAAAAAGTCACATTGTAACTTGGTTTTGTTCCATTTCTCTTTTTAGAAGAGCTCGACACATTGATAGGAGAGAAGATGGACAAACTGAGGCCTTCCGTCATGGCCTGCAATCCAAATGGAGTCAAAAGTTCATCGGGGGTTTCCAGACAGATGTTAGTCCAGCCCCACTCTCTGTGTGACCCATCCCTCTCGTCTGGTATCCCACAGTCTTTGCATGCTATTCATCCACCAGGACCATTATGTGCCAAGAACCCGCTACCAAGTTTGCTCGGAGGGCACCACTCTTCGTGCTATGCATCATCACAGGGCTTTCCTCCAATCTCGACTACGTTAATGCAGCAATCACCAGGAATCCCTCAGACCATATTCCCTTCTGGAGATACCCAAAGTGAACTCAGGGCACAGCCTAGCACCACCCAGGACTCCCCCTTGCCAGCTCAGACTCCTCCTATACATGGCATGAAGATGCTGACGGAGCAGTCTGCGACCCGAACAATGCAGGACACGCTCATGCAAGACGGCGACCTGAGCAATGACATCGACGCCCTTAATCCATCCCTGACTGATTTTGATCTCCAAGGTAAGTGCCTCATCTTCCACTGACATGCGCTTGCTCATTGTGTGCATTGCCAAAGGAGATCTGACCCGCACAAAATCTTTTCCCCAGTGCCCTGAACACAACCAAAAACACCTATGAGTAGACTTATGGGTCTCACTTCCCTGTCCTTGTTGACTTGTCCTTCCCACGGTCCCAAAAAGTAGTCCAGGATGTTTCACCATCTCCTGCAGCAAGGAGTGAATAAAGGAAGTTTCCAAGACAAGACAAATAGACTCAGAGCTAGAAAAATAGCTTATACCCCCTCATCTCTGCCTCTACTGCATCTGGCAGTGAGTCTCTCAAACTCCGTCTTCCCCATCTCCACATATATTTCCCCAGAGAAAAGTACCCAAGCACAGTTACTAAATGCACATCAGAGATCATCACATAAGAATGAGGAGACATGACTTTGTTTGATTACGCTTTACGTAGAAAATTTTGGGTTCCTTTCATCCTTTATATTCTAATACCTTCCACGTCTTTGTTCAAAAAAGTGCAATCTATCCCCATGTAGAGCTTCAGAGATTTGGCTGGGCCCTGAATGGACTTCCTAACTTTGATCAAGTTCTCCCAAAGGATTAATTATATATTGCTGTCACCAAAATTTCTCCTCCAAGCAAAACATTATTTCTTTTGAATGGCTGTGGTGCTCAAACCCTGGATCAGGCACTTCCAAAGGATAAAAATAGTTAGTGGAAGGACCAAGTATAGGTAACACAGCTATAGATTAAAGGCTGCAACTTCCCTACTGCATACGTAGCTCTTGTCCTTTGCACTGGACAACAGGCACGCAAGTTCCCTTCACAGAGATGCAGCAAAATCAGCGTGCAGCAGGAGAGCGTGCAGATGCACAGAGCAATGCCAGCAATTTGTTTTAGCTCCACTGACAGTAAGAATTAAGTCGATGGAGAACAGTGGTGGGTCCAAATGGTGAAGAAACCTGCGTGCTTGGGATCCTGCGTTTGCATCCACGATGGCCGAGGCAATGCATGTGTGTGTGCACACGTCTGTACGGTGCAAGCAGCAAGAGCTCACATTTCATGCCTGCCTTCTGCCTTATCTCCTTTTTCAAATAACTGGGGGTCCCTATCTATTCAGTAACAAGCCAGACTTATTACAAACCCTGCCTTCACTGGCACTGGGTATGTCAGAACAGCTGTGGGTACAAACGTAGTGACAGCTCCCCCTGCCACAGAAAATCTCTGCTGATTTTGTGCAAACTTTTCCATAGAAGTTTGCACAAAAACTGAGCAGAAAGCTACAGCCCTGATGCAGTGATTAAACTTATTCTTTAGTGTCACCCTTGTACTCTATCATTCAGTGGGAAAGGGGGAGGCGAGTACATTCTCAGCAGCATTTCCAATCTTTGCTCATCACAGAATCACAGACAATGAGGGTTGAAGGGAGCTCGGGAGGTCGCATCTAGTCCAACCCCTGCTCAAAGCAGGACCGGCCCCAACTACATCACCCCATTCCCAGCCAACACTTTGTCTAGCCCGGACTTTAAAATTTCTAAAGATGGAGAGCCCACAATCTGGCAATCTGCGTGTGCACCAAACTGATTTGCACATGCAGTTGGATTAATTAGGCATCAGCATGATTGGTAGATCTGCCCCATAAATCGTCCCCAGCAGCTCGCAACTCAGCTGGTGCCTCTTCCAGCTGACAGCTAGGTTATGTCCGTCCGCATTTGAAAAGCGAGCTAGGAACTCTTCTTCAATGAAGGTCTGTCTTCCGCCACTTCGGGGTTAGTCACGGAGGCAAATCATGGAGGAAAGCCCGTTCTGGCTCCTTTAGCACAGACGTGCGTGGCGGGAGGAGTACACCCACCAGCGATCCCTTGGGTAAAGGACCATGTGCGCAGACACAAGCAGAAGCTCACCCGGAGCGTTTTGTTTTGTTATAGGAAATCTCTGGGAAGAACTGAAAGACGACAGCCTGGCTGCGGACCCCCTGGTTCTCATCTCATCCTCCCCAGCCCCCTCCCAGTGTTTGCCTCCACACTGCCAGGTGGATGGCGGCAGCAGCAGCAGCACCCCCCACACCAGCTTACCTGACCTCCAGCTTACCACCCTTTACTCGGCATTTATGGAAGTGGATGCAGTGTCTACACCCTACTTGAGCAATCCTGGATCGAAGCCCATAGCATTAGTGTGAACCACAAGCCAACCTACCTGCTGTTATTTTTGTCCCAACACTCTGGCACCTTCAGCTAAAATAAATCAGTACCGTGTCCAGCCATGTAAGAACTCGCTCTTTTTTTCTAGAGCTGGCCTGCAGGAAATAGAAGCCTTCTCTCAGCCTACCTGTAAGAGAAAATATTAAATGCTGGGGGGGGGGGACACATGGCCCGCTAGTTTAAAGATAAATTGAGGCTGGCCAAAGAGGCACTGGCAGCTTTTTTGCATCTTCCCGAAATAAAAGATGAGCTGAAGAAGACAAACAGCTGTCAAATATTTGTATGGGAGCCTCTTGCAATTGAACATGTAAGTCAAGGCAAACAAAAATAAAAATATTCCCAAGAAATACCGCTCAAGTCAGTGATGTCCATGCCTTCTGCTGCAGACCATGACAGAAAATCCATGTTAAAAATGTATTCAAAAACATGCACTGGTCTTTGACAAAAAGACACATGCATTTAAAAGCTTGCAAACATTACAAGACAGAGGACTAGTATCCTTAAAAAAATATACAGCAATAATCATATTTTACTGGGAAGTTTCACAAGTTTTACTGTAAAGAAGTCAAATCCTGTTTTAAAAAAAATAAAATAAAATGAACAATTTAGTTTGACCCCTGACTTGGATGGAAATGATACATATTGGGCACGTCTACACATGCATTCATGCACCATAGTTACTGCGCATTAAATTTAGCAGATACTAACTAGCAACCGACACTATTATGCAGTAGCACCAGCAGATGCCTTTTTAGTGACACTAATGCACGGTAGACTAATTCTACTGCACATTAGCACGGCTTTTGCCATGACATGCTAATGCTTAGTCTACTGAGCATTTTTTTTACTGTCTCATGCAGATATGCCCACTTATTCCTTCATTTTCATCTGGATAACCAGAGGAGAATACACACCATTTAAATCCAGATGTTTCAGAACACAAACATAAGCACATAAAAAACCACAGGTACAATGGTGTTGTTTTTTTTTTATGAAGTAACTATTTATTGAATATATTTGTATTTGAACAAGATAAAATGCTTCTTGAAAAATGTGATGCCAGGAACTTTAAAACATTTCAGTTGAGGAAAAAACACTCCCTAAAAATCTTCCCATTTGTTTTAGGAAGAGGAAAAGAGAAAGGAGTGATAGACGCTGGCAAGGCATTACTCTTGTATACACATGCGTTTTGGACAGAATACCACATCATAACCCTTTGCAGATGAATTTTTTTCTGATACAAAGTCCATAAGAGGGGAAACCCCCAGTTTCTCCTTTGCTATTCTGTCAGGAGAGAACTCACTTCTATGGATAGTAAGGGATGCCCAAATTCAGCATCCAGGTCTTCCTCCAAAGAATCGTGGGGTACGTCTCACTGCAAAGCTGGCCTGGGCTTGCCAGCGCGGGTGGGTCATCTCCACCGTGACGTCCTGCCCATGCGAGACTCGTGAAACAGCACTTGCAGCAGTGCTGAACTAGCCGCATGCTAGGACCTCCCCTGACTATTTGCAGCGCCCCATGCTCCACCGTTCTGCGAATGCATTTGTAGGCTGGCACGGTTGGTTGGGCAGATGTGATCTCTTTTATTAGGCCAACTGAATCATCGGAAAAATGGTTCTTCGCAAGCTTTCAGGCATAGGGAAAGTTGCTCGCATGACAGAGCTGCTGCTGGTGGCAGCGATGCGAGAACAGTGCTCAACCCCAGGTGGAGCTACCAAAGGTAAAAGTGAACTACATTTGGGAGCAAGAACTTTTAATGAGCATGCCATTCAGGCATCAAATCTATGGACCGCAGGCGGAGGCACAGTGCGCTTTCTCAGATGCTGTGCTATGGAAAGGCAGAGAAAAAGGAGTGGGTTCAAACACTGAGTCAGGGCAGAAGAACAGAGGAAACAGTACAGAAAATGCAGCCCAGAAGAAATTGTAGGATAGCACCAGAGGACTATTAGCACACCCACTGATTAGTCTGGGTACTCAGCACAAAGCGGGCGAGTTGCCAACCTGAGCTGAACCAGGCCAGCTAGAGCAGGGTCACGGCCCCCCGAAGCCCACGTTAGACCTTTTCCTGTGTAGACAAAAGGGAGCTGAGCAGCAGCATTGAACCCAGGCCAAATGCACCGTGCAGACGTGTCCCTCTGAGACTAATGGGGCACAGACAAGTCCGACCAGCATTCCCATCATCATCCAAGCAGCCGTGGAGAGATGCAAGCTGCTGAACTCATTCCCCCGCCGATGCTCAGCAGGGACTAGGGGTGTGGGAGAGGAGTGAATGAGCTCTTGCACCCGAAGAAGCTGCAGATACAGCAAGCCGATCGTGCAGTGTCCAGATGCTGTAGCACGGTGGTTCTCGTCCAGGGCAGGACAAGGTCACTGCAGCACAGCAAGCACCATGGCACAAAACAAGAGAGCTTCTCTCCAGGCCTAGGCGGTGGCCCTCTGCGACTCCAGCAGGCCACCAAGAGGCTCTGAAACCCCACGAGACTGGGGGCTTCTTGTCTAGGGGCAAACATTTTTGTGCCGTTTAACAAAGCTTTTCTACACTTACTAGAAAAGCATCGTCTCAAAAAAGTCCTGTTTCTAAGCACAGATTTGTGATGCATTAGTTATCCTTCGGCGGAGCGATGACACATCAGTCGTAGCCCATTACATTCAAATTCCAGAGCATTTGCACACTGCACAGATGAAGTTTGGGGGAAAAGAGGAAGTTAAAACTTATTTTAAAGGTTGCTGCACTATCACCCAATTTGTGCTGACAGCCTAGGGATTTCTGGCCTGGTTTAATCTGCCCTTAAGGGTTAAAAAGATCACATATGTAATCTGGGGAGGAACATGAGCCAGTGAAGAAGCTGCTGCATCCAAGACCTGAAAGGCACTAACATTATTTTAGCTGCCTTCTTGCAAAACAGAAACGACAAACAACCGTCGACCCCACCGCCCATCCTGGTGCTCCCATGCTCCCTCTGCTGTCTCCCTGGCAGTGCTCAGCTAATACTATTCCCCAAGCCGTGCCAACAACATCCATGGCAGAAAACCAAAGTAATGACCATATTCATTGCAACTCTGAAGTCTGCTGGACAGAACAGGTGAAGAGAAAGGAAGGTGTGTGTCCCGAAAGGAAAAGGACAAATTTCAGGGAGAAAGACATTTGACGTTCAAGCTTCCAAAGACATGAAAAACAACAGGATCTTTTTAAAAGAGCCAACTCCTCCTTTTCTTACAACATGCTATTAATTCAGCAGCACCTTCGAAAATGTCAGCTCTACATTTTCCAGCTATTGAAAAATAATAGAGCGATGTTTCTCTTGTAAAGCACCCAAAGCCCTCAACAGGTCAGCACGTTTTGGACATCATGGGTTCCCATTTGAAATCTTTTGGGATTTATTTGCGATTCACATTTGCACACTTAACACTGTGCAACAGCCCGCAGCACCCTGGAAAGGATCTCAAGGCGCCCCAGGATGCCACAGCAGCCCGGCTGAGAATCACTGGTCTAGCAATTCCTCCGCATATTGTAAATTATAACACTGCATATTTACAAGTATAAATGAGAGGAGCATTTGCCCCAGTGTACCCTGACTATGGGGCTATAGTGCTTGCTGTTTTCTCATAAGTTGAAGGTAGTCAACACTTTCTTGGCGTTGTGCAAAAAACCTGGGCATATCAAAAGCAAAAGGAAAAAATAGTATATACATTGCATAGGCAGACAAGGTTCTTTGGGTAAATGTGATCTCTTTTATTAGACCAACTAAATAGTTGGAAAAATTGTTCTTTGCAACCAACACGCCCGTAATCTCGCATGGCTTTTTCATGAATATTCGCATGATGATCCCACGATATATTGTGACCAAATCAAAGCAGGCTAGCCTTGCTGTAATTTATTTATAGAACATTAATGATATTGATATCATTACACAAGGAAATAGTGACTCTGGTTAGACCTTTTGTAAAAGAACAATGGATTAAATAGGGTTTTTTTCTCATATTATGAGGGGTAATTTAGGGCAAAGACTGGAAACTATTATCTAATTTGTGACTGTCCACCAACACAAACTGCTGTTTTATATCATTGATAGTGCTGTAACATTCACCTAACACTCTCATCACGTGCTTCAGTTCAGAGCCCGAGAGCCTGGTACACCAAAAACATTCCTTTGCAGTCGAATTCTGTCCTCACAAACTAACATACAGCAATAATTTTAAAAGATGCAAAAATAAATAAATAAAATAAAATAAAATAAAATAAAATAAAAAAATTCAGAGGAAACTTGTAGTATTTACCATAATTCCATTGTTTTGTAGGGGTTATGATGAGTGATTTTATGGAAAACTGGTCCAACAAGCCTGATTCCATTCTCTGATGAGCCTGGATGTCTGGCTCATAAAGACGGACAGAACGTGTTTAGATTATTGTAAAATATTTGCCCCGGGACTATATAGCACCCTAATTTTTAAAAAATTGCATTTTTTACGTAGAGGAAGACCCAGATAAGTGACAGAGCTCAAAAAGTAGCCTTCAACATGGTCTCATCCTCAATGCAGGCCAGGCCCTGGGAAGGAGGACGGCAGAGCGCACCTGCTGAGTGCGGACTGGGCCTGGGGAGCAGAGATGGGGCAGAGGGGACCAGCAAATCCACACTAGTGGTCAGTGCCAGGGACAAAAAGGGGACTATTAAGATCCCTACGTGTATGTGCAGGGGAGGAGGAGGCTCATTTTACCTCTGGATATGCCTCAGTGAGGCTGATGCCAGACCATTGCAGACGGGGTTGGTGTCCATGCATCACCAAGGTGGCTGGAAAATGCAAAGACTGCAGGAAAGAGCTATCGAAACAGCTGGGAGGCTGGAGAAGAGGCCTGGCAACTCAGTCTATCCCACTGATCAAGAAGACCGAGCGGTGACGCTGTGAAAGTACATCCTCAGGGTGAAAAGAGTAAGTGCCAAGAGACTCTTCTCTCCTAGCGATGGACAGAAGAAGAAACCTGGCTGGAGGCAGATGCCACAACAACCAAAGTTAAGTTAGCCATATTCCAAGCAGTGGTGATTAACCATTAACTAAATGAATGAGTGGATTTCCTGCCTCTGGGCCTCTTCAGATTCAAGCCAGACAGATGCTCTTCTAGACACCTGCAGTAATCAGCCCCAAGGCATTGGGCT